TGTAACTGGCTTTGCTAATGGTGAGCTCCCTGGTTCCATTTTCATCTGTTTTCCTGCTTGAAATCTTGTACAGCATTGATTTAAGAGGAAAAAAAAAATTTTGCAAACATTAAAAACCAGCAACTATTGTGCACCAAACAAATTAGACTGTCTTGAAATATCTAATTTAATACCATCTGTGGTGATATTAGTGTTCTTAATTGGACAAGAAAATGCAGGAAACTTGAAATTGAGTCTGGGAGGAAAGTGGGGGTTAGACTTTGAATAGACTTTGAAAGCTGCAAAGAGACCATTATGACCATCAAGTTTGAACCCCAGCATAATGCAGACCATAAGATTTCAGAGAGCAATTTTGCTTCTAGCCCCAAATAGCTCTGTCTTGAATCCATCAGCTATGGGATTTGCCGCAAGCACTGCATGATGGTCGGCAAACTGTGGAGCTGTGGACAGGAGTGGGGGTGTTGATAATGAGTTTTACTGAATTTCTGTCTCAGGTGATTTGTTTTGAATAAAATAATTGCAAAGGGCAGTTCTTGTTCTTTTGAGGGTGAGTCAGTTGCACAATAGGGCTAGTAGGTGTAGGATTTGGAGACTTATTTTCAAACTTCATGTGCCTGATACTATTAGGGTTGCCTCCGGTCTTGCTTCTGAAGGGATTAAATCCTAAAAGGATCTTGCATTTCTGAAGACCAAGTCCTGGCTCTGGGAGACAACAGAAGGCTCTGGGCCTTATGGACCAGATACTGAGAAGTGGTGACCGTTCTGGCTCAAGGCTGAAAGGACAGTTTGTCCCTGTTGGGAGCAAAGCTTTCTGGCAAACCTGTCTGCTTGGTGACTCAGTTTTCCTCTGTAAAATGACAGCAACAATTTCTTTTTCTCATGAGAATTCATCCTTTGAGGGCTGTTTACATACAGTTGAGTTGCAATTTTGATTGGGCCCAGTTGGAGACTCAGCTACTATGAGGCTGAAAAATGAGAGCGGGGACATGTATGTTTTTCAGGAGCAAAGAATATAAACATTTCCAGAAAAGTGAAACTCATTGATGTTTACTTGTTGAGTATGTAACATCAAAGGCTATATATGATCATGAGAAACCGTTTGTGTTTTGAATAGAACAAATCTGTGGCTTCTTCCTGTCTGGCCCAAATATATGCACCAATGAGGTGAGAGAGGTGGGTGGTTCACTGCAAACTATGTGGGGGAAATACTTGCAGGATGTCTTTTGCTAAAGTATTGGCAGTGCAACACTCGGTCTTTGGCTTTGTAATGGAAACTGGATATTTTTTGGTTAGGTCCTTGCTTTACATATCACATCAAAATTCTCAAAAATTCTTTTGTGAGTCTGCTTTGCTGAAGCTAGTTAATCATTTGACAAGAGTTTTCCCCTGTGGGCCTCCAGCTTCTCAAGCTCTAATGTATATCAGTCCTTCGTATTTGGCTCAAAACCGTTTGCCATGCTTTGCGTTAACTGCTGTTCTTCTTGGGGGATTCCACCCACCAGCTGGTGGATAGGAAGCTTTCACAAAATAGTGCTGAAAAGGAGCAGCTGAGTTGTCCAAAAATACTTATATTGCCTTTTCACAAGCTTTCCAGTGAAGAAACTGAATTGGAAGCTTTCTCACATATGGTTTGTGAAATCTAAAAATCATCAATTAAGGATGAAAATTGCAAACCTGATCTCAAGGCAAGGAGCTTCCAGAACAGAGTTGCAGTGGTGAGCAGGGATTAGATCTCTGGCTTCTAACTTCTACTATCTGGCTAGATGAGAAACATGTACCAGGCAGTTAAATCTTTTAATTACTTGCTGGGAGAAATTATTAGAACTTTCAGAGTAAACCTCCCATAAAAGCTAAAAGAAACATCATGTAACTTGCCTGTTGCCCGCAGATAGAGCATGTTTAAAGGCTGGACCTGCTTGTCAGTTAATACTATCTTAATTGGGAACAAAAATCAAAACTGGCCATAAGTTCTGTGCTGCTATCTACTTTGGAGAATGGCCCAAGATGACTAGCTTAGTTATGTTAGCTGAATTCCTTCTCTTCTGCACAGAGATGTGTTTTATTCTGAATCTATAAGCATGCACGTGACTTATGGCTATAGATACATTTCAACTGACCGTATTTGCTATCTAGGTTGTCACAGCAAAATGAGATTTTTGTCTGAGTAACTGCATTTCCTGAGTAGTGCAGGAGCAAGAAAGAACATTCTGGCCACCTCTCAAAATTATGCTAATATAGCTTGCTGAGTAACTATGAAGTTACCTGCAAGATGGTGGGGGAGAAAACCCACAGATACTGAAAGTCACTCTTCCCTGACCTTAGACCTATATAAAACATCACAGTGTAGGGGAAGCAAATCTTAGTTAAATGAACAAACACAAAATACTGTATATCAGATGTGGGTGCCTTTTACCCACTCAAGACAAGTAATTTATTCAGGATTTTCATGCAGTCAGTGGCAGATGAAGAAATTGGATTGTTTCTCTTTCATCTTCCGTAAGAACAAACCATCTCCCCCCCCCCCACTCCCGCTTCAAATTTCTCTGCTTAAGCCTTTTCAGAGTGAAAATGATCAAAGCATGAGATTAAAGACATATCCTGATCTGATGAGATTAGAATTTCTGACTGTTTCCTTATGCTTAAGCACCCCCCACCCCCGCATCTCTGGTATTTCTTTTTCCCCCTCTTAAATTTGATCAGAGTGAAGCTAACATGGGCTTGCTGGTCCAGTAGGAAATGGAACTCAATTTTACATTTTTTTTTAAACCATTTTACTGTATTAAAAATGACAGAGGTTAGAAACAAAGCTCTTATACTTTTATTGAACTGGAATTAGAAGTGACAGAAAATCATTTTGGTCCTAGTGCAGTAAATGTTATCACTAAAACATGTTCAGGGGAGATTAGGACAGTCTCTCAAGCACAAGAGACAAAAGTTCACAAAACAAGAAGTGATCTCTCTGTCCTTGTCTCACAATCACTGTCTGTTCAGGAGACAAATGTATTTTGACTCCGGGTGGGTATTGGACTGGGGGGTTGGGGGAATGAAAGTTTTTTCCCTTCTGGGCAGAGATTGAGCCTGGAGGAGGGAGGTGTCTCCCTGCCAGAGTGCAAGCAGAGAGTGGAGGCTTGAGGGAGGCGTGGGGACCTTGTGTGTGAGGACCTCAGGGCTTTGTGCAGTGCAATCTGAATTTAGCTGGCCTGTAAAAACTACCAGAGTAAACGCTGAATAACACTAAGACTGGTTGGAAACAAAAGGATGGGGCCTTTCTGGCCATTCCACTGATCTTGGACAGGTCACGTCATTTTTCTGGACTTTGGAGATGGGCTATAGCTGCAATAGGATCCATAGTGAAGAGCCCCTAATAAAATGGGGGACTACTGCCAAGAGCATCCAAAAGGCCAGAGGTATATGCAGCCCTTTCTGGCTACAAGGACAGTGGTGTGGCTCTTTCCAATATAATACAGCTGTTCTTTATCGCAGTGGGAGCCCGCCCTCTCAGGAAAGTTTCTTCTGTCTGTGCATACTTCTTTTTTTGTCCAAACCAAACAAGTCAAATATTATGCCCTTAATCAGAATTCTGTTGTTGTTTTCTAATTAATCTGTGTCAGTTGCTTGAATGTTTGTGTTAAATCATTTTCTTCATGAAAGCTTTTAATGAGGAAACAAATTGATTGGATTTTTACATACTGGATTCTTGCCACTAATGCCTATAGACCAACCCTTTGTTACGCATCTTGCTTGTGAATGGGTCACTTTGTGGCTTATCCCCAATCCTTGATCTGTTTCCAAAGCTTGCCAGTGCTGTTCCTTTATTAAAATAACTCGGATATCAGCCCAAGATGTGCTCAGTGTGAGAGATGAAGAAATCATGGAGGATTTCTTTTCAGCACAGCCATTCCTGTGATGGGTCTACTTATGAATGTGTGTGTCCCTCTTAATAGAAATAATGTGTATATGATTGGACATACTTTTGAGCTACTTGCTGGGCGGGGAATGGGACTCAGTTGAGGGGCCTGAGGCATGGGCTAAGTAGACTGTCTGATGGAAAGGTAACCCCTCCTCTGGTAGATAAGATACAAGGGTGTTTCTCGAGCTGGGTTACATCTGGCAGTCCACAAGCCGGTGCCTGTTTTCTGCTTCACTCTTACATCCTCTGTGCCTGGCTGCTTGTAATGTACTGCTTGTCCCTCTGTAATTGCCCAGTGTCCAGCACTCTGGGTTTTTAGATGCTATTGTTGGAAAAGTAGGTAGTATGGTATGACAACACATGTCCTGCAAGCTTTCATCTCTGTGCTTCTGCAAGGGAAGTTCTCAATCTTGGGTCTGCGACCTTCCGACGCTGCTAAATGAGGATAGTATGTCCACTCGATGGAGGATAATTTCCAGCAGGGTGGAGAAGTTTGCAAACCAGAGCAGTAGAGAGCTGGCATGTAAGGAAGGGTAGGAAAGGGATGAGTAAAGGAGTGGGAAAAATGCAGAGGGAAGATGCTAAAGCTGATCAGGACGTCTGGGTGTAAGCATTTTCTTTGAATTTCTTGGTGACCTGCTTTCATAAAAGTTGCATAGAGTTGGTCTCTGCAGACAGAGCACTGTGAAATGGGCAGTGTGCATGTTCCCCTTGGCAGTGTTGTTGCTGTAAGGAAGGTGTTGAGATGAGGTTAATACTATTGCAAAGGGAAAGGCCATGTAAGCCTTTCTGTTTTGAGGAGGAGATCTATTCTTACGAAAGAAAATTGGGTGTCTTTGACCCTTGAAGAAGCAGAGATCTGATTAGTGAAAAAGTTTCTGTAAGTAGCAGGGTGTGTCATGGGGGGCCAACCAGCATCTTTAGGACATGAATTGCCTCTTGAGGCTTCTTGCACAAAATGTTTTGAGCATTTGCTGGATTCCTGGCAGCATGTCTGATATAATTCCCCAATCTGTCACTTATTCATCAGGCTGGAACAAATCATTAAGAAAATAATGTATGCTTACACTTGTCTTTTTTTGTCTTTTAGGTATCACTCGGAGCTTCTGCCCCGAGGTGAGTACAGCCTGGTAAGGAAGGAGGGTACTTTCTCATTGCTCTTATGAGCTTGGGGAGCCGGGAAGGGCTCTTTAAATGTGGTGTTTTCTGTGTGAAATTGGCAAGGGGAAGAGCTTAATTTGAATATATGTTGTGCATGGCAGGTCTTAGGGGTGGAATGGGGCAAAGCCACAGTAAAGGCTATAGCAGAAGTTCAGGTTAGCATTCTTTCTGGGTAACAGGAGTTAATTTTTCCTTAGTCTTGGGAGTAAACTGAACAAAAGCGTGTGCTGCTGACATAAAAATACTGTTTTGGAGAGGCCTAGGAAAGCTTTCTGCAATACTTCCGGTCTCCAGAAAATCCTTAAAGTTCAGAAAGGGCAGCATATTCTAGTGGTTAGGGCTATTGACTTGGGAGCAAAGACTGTCTCTGGGTAAACTTCAGCAAGTTGCTTCCAGTCATCGTTATTTCTGTGTCAACCCCAACTTGAAACTGAATCCCTGTCTCCAGGTATAGACAAATGGTCAGGCTGCAGATTTTTCAGGACTGTGACCATCTCTTCTGTGTGTTAGTGACAGGGGAGATTCTGGTCATGACTTTGATCTTCGTTTCTGTGATAATGCAGGTGATGAGTTAAACTTTCCAGAGTGCCTGCAGGTTGAGAACTGTTTCAGGGGTTACTTTTGCATATCTAGGACAATCGGTGGATGTGTCTTTCCTTAGAGCTGACCTGGAGCTCCTCTTGTTCTGCATTGAATCCATGCAGTCCAGCATTGGGCACAACCAGGCCACAGATAACATGTGCAGTTCTGTGGGTTCTTTTTCTTTAAACAACGACTGTGATACATGAGTACAAACAGAAGGATCTGCCAGTGCTCAAACAGGATGGGAGCTGGGGCCATCATAAAAATCCTTGCGAGTGTTCCAACTCAGCTAATCCTTCATTTACTCCAGAAATAAATTCCAGTATGTTACCTCCTCGATCAGGGCCCACTTCCAGCACATCCTGTCTGTCTGGCAGCACAGAAATGTCAGAAATGCAGCAGCGTTGCAATTCCCGCTAGAGCAGTGTTATCACATTTTAATATGAGCCTCGGTGCAGCCTCGGTGCTTCTAATTGCTTTCAAACCATTGTTTTCGTGCGTTTGGTTGATGAACCTAGCATCTGGCATCATTTGAGAAAGTACAACAGACAGCTGTGTTCAAAATTAAAAAAAGAGAGTGAGAGAGAGGATTAGAACACACAAAAGGGCTCAAAATTGTTTTTTTTTCATTTTGAAAGTTCATACAATTTAAAGGGTAGAGGAGGGATCCTTTTGTTCTTTTGAGATATTCTGAGTATTATGGAGTCGGAAGCCCAAATAATATTAGGAAGACTGTAGAACTGTGTATAGATTTGTAAATGAATTGAAGTGCCTAGCTCACTTAAATGCCTGTTAGGAGTCGCTGTGCAAGTATTTGGGTCTGCAGGCAAGACTTGCTCCAGACTTGCTCCTAGGTCATCCAGGAAGTTGATGCTACCCTGAGGAAAATATACTAAGGAAGCAGGACACCTTGGGCGTTAAGAGGGACTTGGGCATCACTTTGAGAGCCTCAGCTTCAGTTTATGATGCCCTGCTGGGGGAAGGAGAGGTGATGAGAACCTGGTGCCAGTTGAATGGAAAAGAGCCAGAAAGCTACAATGTGGCCTTTGGTGTAAAGGAAAACCAACAACCTGAATGCGTAGACGTGTGGATAAGAGGATCACAGAAAGCAAGAGTAAATTAGTTGCTCAGCTGTACTGCCAGTGCACTTAAATAACAGGTTGAGGTGAGGAAAGGGAAAGGCTTCTTCTGAGAAGGTCTGGGTTTTTCTTTGCAAGACATCTTGTAAACAGCCTTTCTAAAGAGGATAAGCAAAACTTGTTACCCCATTTGGTAAAAGCAGTTAGAGCTCCTTAAACTGAGGTCTGTGCTGGAGTTCTTCCGGCAGGGTATTAAGACCAAAACACCAACAATTCCAGGTATCACAACCTGCTGGTGTCCAGTGTTGGCTGAAATTAATAGAACTGGTTTTGATATCTCCCAGCAAACAAATGTATATGGAACAGGAGTGTGGACCTTGTCTACCCAACCTATCATCAATACCGGTCCAATTTTGGCAAGATGTAAGAACGGTGTAAGGCTTGTGGGATGAGTTGCCATGCCTAATTCATAGGCACCGAGCGATGTTGTTGACTGTAGTGTGCAGCTACACCTTATTTTTGCCTTGTTCCTTAGGTGCTCTTTGAATAGAGCAAAGGGTGACCGATTTCTGGAGGAGGGCTGACTGTCTATGTGAAGCATTTTGTATGCTTAATATATTTTATATGTGCATGCCCTTGCTGTCTTGCAGAAATCTCCCCTTTATGGAAATAGAACTAAGGAAAGTTGGCAGAGAAAATCTACCTGGGACCTGGATCAATTTTATGCCTCCCCTAAGTTCCTTTTTGCTGTTTCTGTCTCTTCTTACAATTCCACGCAGGGGAAACGTTCTGCAACAGCTTTGGTTTAGCAGAAACAAACGGTCTGAGGGAGCGGCAGCAGGCCATTCTAGGGTACTGCAAGGGAATTTAGGATTAAATGGCGGAGGAAAGAGGAGGGAGGACAGAGGTGATGATTGTTTGGAAAGAGAAGTGAGAGAAGGGGAGCAATGAAGGAGGAAGGATTAAAGAAGAAATGAAAGGTAGTTGCGTGGCTAAACAGGAGAGCTTGAAATTGGGCTTAAAAGTTCTGTTTTCAGCTCTACTACAATGTGACTTTGCACCAAGTGACTTTATTTTCACTAATGTGTTTCAGCTTCCCCATTCCTAAACCCAAAATCTGTATGGAAACAGGCAAGTGCAAAAGGACAATGTGGCCACTTGTAAAATTGAATTGGTTTAAATCTTTGTTTATAAAGTGCTTTGAGATCCTCAGGTGCAAAGATCACCTGATCAAAGAAATACTCTATGCTTGAGGACGCAGGCCTTCGGAGATATGGTGAAAATCTAGCCCTGCCCTTCCCACCTGGCTCGGGAGCCCTGTTCCCGGACTCCAACCTGGGACTAATGGAAAAAAAAGTGCTTCTAAATCCTCTTATGGTACACGTGCCTCCATGCTGTGTGGGTGCCTCCTTACCATGCTGTTACACAGAAAAGTCAACTTCCAAGGACTTATTTACGCTAGAAAACTAAACTTAGTGAATGCAGTTGCTGACAATTATTTTTTTTTACTTTTTTGGAAGAAAACAGCCTCAAATAGATGAATAACAGAACACATTCGTTTTCATTGGGCTTGCAATAACTTTTTTTTTCCCTATCAAAAGTTAATTCCAGATACTTTTGTGAAGTGCTGTGTGGGTATTTTCTGAGTAGCAATGTTCCCTAGGGTATTCATAAATAATCAAAATGCGTTAGAGAGCAAGGATTATTGTTCCATTGTTAAATTCAGGAAAACTGAGGATCAAGGAATACGCCTAATGTAGCACAGCATCTACAAGTGCATCCAGGAACTAGGTGCAGATTTCCTGAATCTCCTTGCTTGGTGCCTTAACCACTGTTTCCTCTTTGCAGCAGGGAGGGAAAAAATACAAATGTGTGGTGGGGAGGTGGGGGTAGGGGGACAAGCTAGCTAGGATAAAGCATGGCTTAATAATCGAGGCCCTTCATGTCCCATAAAAGGATTAAGTAAGTAACACTGGAAAGTCTTAGTAGGCCACTTATCTTATAGTATATACTATTTAGATGAAGTGTGTATCATTTTACCTCTATCGGCCCTACTTACTTTGGCTCAGATGCATGGTATTTCATGGGTCGCTGGTTGTTCACGGGGTTGGATGTCATAGCAGTGCATGAGGTATGTATACCCGAGGCATGCGTGCAGTTTTCTTTCATTAACTGGCATCATACAAAGGCCTCAAGTGTTAGATTTATGAAGTAGCTTTTCTATATAAAGCCTCAAATCTATTGAACTGAACTGAAGCGGAGCTGGATGGGAGACGGAACTGTGCATTTCCCTAAACCACTGCTCCCTGGTATTGCATATTTGGTTCATGTAGTTATGACAAGTACAAGTAGCAAATCATTAAAGCAGCAGAAACACCATCTTTACTGTAAGGATCCCCTTTGAAGCTGAGGCAGAGTGTTCCTGAATTAATGGAGTGCATAGTGATTTTACTAAGTTTTATTTACAAAAAACCCTCTTTACGTTCATGCCAAAAGACTCTAGCTCTCTGGTAAGCAGGGTTCATACACAGAAACCTAGTCTAGATTTATGATGTGTTTGAAAACACAAGGGAAAAAATATCGAATTGACAATATTTGTAACATATTGTTAAAATATCTATTCTATCACCATGCGTGGAATTCTCCTGCTTTATAAACATGAGTGCCAGTTACAAACCTTGAAATGTCATAACACGTAGAGACAAAAAGAAAACAAAAAAACTTTTGTTAGAATGCTTCCCGAAGTCCAAGATGTGTTTGGGTGGTATGTGGAACAGAGTTAATTAATGAAAAATAAAATATACACGAAGGCATATGTTCTTTAACTTAAAGAAGAAATGCTTTAATATCAACATTTCTGACAGCTCCCTTTATCAGCAATGAAACTTTCCTTCCTGCAGCTCTGAGAGTGTGGTTCTTTGCCTTTGTGTATGTATTATATTCTGGGTGAACTAATCTGAATAGAGACAGTAGTTTTTGCAGTAAAATCCCTCCTGTTTGGTAATTTTGCAAACTCTGAGCAGCTGCACAGCTTTGCTTTTACGTGTACTTATAAATTATTCTGCTACCTTAGGTATCGTGCCCAAATTTTGGAGGCAAGCAACTATTGTAGGAGAATGTAGAATACTCTGCTCAGAAAATATAGGTAGGAGGTGAGTGTCTGTGCTATGAGAAGGGTTGTATGGAGGTGCATTTGCATTTTTTTACGTACATACATATGTGCAGTTTTGAAACTGTTATTGCATTTCAAATATTCAAAAAAATCAAGCCCCCCCTCCCCATCATGAAATTTAA